CGATATTCTAATTTTTCGAGTTTCACCTGTATATAGTAAAAGATGAAAGTGAATTTTAAAAGATGAATTTTACATAGTAAAATTTTCAAGATTTAAGTAGGATTCCTATATCTGAGAAACAGACTGAATTATCTCTGCATAGTATAGTACACTACTGATTTGATACACAATACTGGAAGTATTTCTTCCTGCTTGCTTGGTTGGTTTTTAAGAGCAAAGGCATAGTATATACAGATAGTCCTCATTTAGCAACTATCTTGTACAGTGACTTTGCAATTACAGTGATGATAAAAAAAAGTAATTTTCAACCAATCTTCACATTTACGACCTTTGCAGGTCTGTAAAGCAAAAGCTGCAGTAAGATCATAAGCACAGTCATGGTTTCACTTAGCGACTGCTTTGTTCAACGACTGAGTTGCCAGTCCCAATTGTGGTTGATAAACAAAGACTGCCTTATATGAGAAAATAACTTGATTCTGGGACTGCATGTACATACATAAATGTATGTGCTACAGGTTCAAACTGGCTTTCAAGCTCTGTTTTTCCAATAACATAAAAATACATTGCCAAAAGGGGTTCTCCATTGTTGAAAAAAAAGTAACATTTACAGGAAACCATACAAAGGAAAATGTTGAGTGGTCCAAAGGGCTTTCCAATCAACCTTTTTTTAAAAGGGGGGGGAGTTGGTATACAAAACTGTATAATAATTTCATATAATTTAATCTCACTAAAAAGCAAATTAGTTTTAATATGGATGTATAATCATATCTATAAATTATCAGCTTTTGTTTGTGGCTTTCTTCATCATTTGAAAAGCAGTGCCTGCCTAGAACTGGGGTCCATCACTGGCTTAACTAAACTGTTAAACCTTTTTGTAATTAATTCTCAAAGATTATTATTATGTATTAAATTTATATGTTGTCCGACTCCCAGTGACTCTGAGCAGTTACAAATAAAAACATTAGAAACAAGAAAAAATATGATAGACAAAAATGAAGAGTAAAGATAGCAAGGATGACCCAAAGAAACAAGCCCTCACAATCCAAAGGAGGCTTCACAAGGCTTGGGCGAAGAGCCAGGTC